ATCCACAGTCGCCATCACCATCCGGCGACCGCAGAAGATCACTGTGATTGCCTTTCACGAACTCGACTTCCTCGCAGTGAATAACGGGATTATTTTCATAGCATCGAGTAGTACGGTTCAGAAGCTCTTTATTATCGCCTCTTCCTAGATGGCGCCTACAAGAACGAAAGTCCTCCATCAAATGTGATGGCACCGCCTTCCGCCAGAACATTTCGCTGTTAACATGCTGAAGAGCGTTTGATCCGATGAAACATTTGGTCATCCCCTTTGAAGCTTCGAAAGCCCATTTCGAGCGATTGGTTGGAATTCCTCTTTTGTTCGAGTGAGCTCCAACCTTATTGAGCCGGTTAGGGGCAAAAAAAAACTTCCCCAGTAATCCTAAAATGTGAGTTCGCCCCTTAGATGACCAGTATTGAACCCAAAAACGTTTTGCAGGCGTTTAGGGCACAATTATGGAAAAGCAAAACGAGTGCATCACGTTATCGAACCTTGATGTCATGCATACCAGTACACCACACAAGCCGCTAGGCCACCGTTGCATAGGTAACGGTTTTGCTCGGCTCGATGATCCGTTCAGTGCAGTGGTATAACACATGGGGAACTGGACCCGTAACTTTGTTCCCAGAATCGTTTAGCAGATTTGGAACACAGACTTGAGATCAGCGTTTGGAACCACCTACGGCGGTATAATCATATCTTGAAGGCTACTGCGACCAGGTACCCTTCCCTTGTTAGTTCGAGAAGCAATACTTCATGTAGCTCATGTTTTCGAAAGGAATTCGAGATGAGGTTGAATACTCGTGGGCCAACACCAAACTATAATTATCCTAAAATTCCATAGATAAGAGCGGGTGAACCTACCGGTGAAAAATGAATTGGAAAAAATCAAAATTGAATGCAGTCATAGAAAAATAGCGATTTTCGACGGATCGCTGTTTTTCTATATGAATTGTTTATTAAGTGGGCGGGGCTTAGAGTTGAGGGGCGGAGCTTCTTCTAACTTCTTCTTCGAAGTTTAATTTATCCATCCATCAAGTTAGAAGGGTGACTGCATTCAATTTCGATTTTTTCCAAATCATTTTTCACCNAACAGCGATCCGTCGAAAATCGCTATTTTTCTATGACTGCATTCAATTTCGATTTTTTCCAAATCATTTTTCACCAGTAGGTTCACCCGCTCTTATCTATGGAATTTTAGGGTACTTGAAAGGTTCAGATTTGTTTCCTCGCCTCTTAACTATCAACAAAGGGCGATCTGTTGCCATTCTGCCGATCTAACAGTTAAATAAGTGTGATGGTAATTTAAGTATATCATTTCTATGTTTCTTGATTATGCCGAATAATAAGAATTATAATCTATTGTGACTCATTAATTCAACATAAATTACAACGCAGAACATCTGCATTCACGGAGCGTATTTTCTCATAGTCAGAAATCATTTCATGTGATATAGAGCAAATAGATTAAGAGAACTGGAAGAACTAGTAAATTAAAGCTGATTGTGGCCATGATCACAGAACTATTTGAGACGAGAATCTCCCATTCAAGGTAAACATACAAAATAAAAAGATCAACGTTCACATAACAATCACAACTTGCAGCAATAACTCACAACGATGAGCGTTTAGTTAAGGCTTAAGGTTTAAAATTTCCACCTCAACATAAAATAATCTGCCATACAAAGACGAAGAGAGATACGAAAACAGATCCCAGAGTTCCTGCTCTGGTTAATGAAAAACTATGATGATTGGAGGTTGAAAACAGAGCAAAGTGACCCGTTTATCGACGCTGCGTGACACCGTACACGTCATGCGTTCTGTAGTAATTTTGAAGCTCCGCAAACAGCATCGCTGAAATACTTGTCAATCATTCTGCTCCACATCACTCCACTTTGAATACAAATTCAACGAAATCGATAGGTGAACATTGGAAAATGAACGAAAGAGCAATGACGTTCGTTCAGGGACCCAAGGTTATCTCTACGACCTACGTTGCCTTCAGAGGTATTACTAAGCCTCTAATAGTTAATTTATACCACTTTCGGAGATCTATTTCTAGAATAAACTATAAAAGAATACGGGAAGACCTGAAAAGTGAAGTCATTTAGCTATGAGGAACTCTGAAATTATCCCCTGGAAGCTTCCCTCCCAACTAGATCAATGACCGATCTTCACAGATGTTACCCTCCTCTTCGCAATTCAGTGAATAGCACTCCCATGGAATCCTTTACGCGTGCGTACTTAACCCTGGCCGCAACGATGGGAAACATTTTTTTCCGACTGGCCCAGCGCATTTTTTTGCAGTATAAAAAAACGAAATAGAAAATAAATCGTTTGCATTTTTTAGGACCAAATATTATGCTGGAATTTTTTACGTCGGAAACAGAAAAAAAGCATTGCAATGACTGTTGCTAATAGGAACCTATTAGTACCGGTGTAAGTCTCCTAGTACGCAGTACATCTAAAGGAATTCCAAGCCATCCTCAATAAACATCATAGCGCCATACACTCAACATCAGACACATGCCAAATACGGAGAACATGAGATGGCACGGAGAAACGGGAGGATGAAAACCAAATTCGAGCCTACCTCTCCACTCTTCCACAGTATGCTCCCCATCTACTGTCGGATCATAGTGGCCTGGTGGTGGTGCGTGCACCTGAATGATCACTTTTGGTTTTAATGAATAAAGCACAATACTGGAAAGAGATAATTTTGAAAGTAAAATTGATCAGTTAAAAGCAAACATAAAGAGAAATATGAACAAATAAATAAATATGTGAATAAAACTGATCAATATGTTCGAAAGGCTTTGCATTTAATGCGGCAAAAAAAATTGGAGAAATACTGGGAAACAAGTAACATGTCTCATGAAAAGACAAATCAGATCGATTACTCAACCCATTGGCGGTGTAGCTCAGATAAGATGCTTTTCTGAGCAAAAATCGACAACTAGTCAACTATAAAATGAACCTTTCACTCTATAGCATTGTAGAGGGTCACCGCATGACTTCAACACGTAGAAGGTCTACAGCAACTCCCTGAGAATGAATTACGACTAAAACACATGATTATTTCGTTTATGTGGTGAACTAAGATGATAATATCATCATCTTCGTTCACCACATCAACAAAACCTATTTTGTTGTGCCATACCGGACAACGAATGCTCACTGTGCATCAAAGTTGAGAGATCCTGAAACAGCGCACCATGTTCTGGTTAAAAGATTCCATGAGCAACCCCAAGTTATCCCATCGTGACCCATTTTAGCATTCGTTCGAGAACGCAATCCTAACCACCACATCATCGCTCCGGTTATGGGAACGAAATCATGTTGAAAATCCGTATTCAGAAACCCATTTGATTCAGTTTTTGCAAAACCTTCACTCAAGCGGCATCTTAAATCCTTATACTTTTGGATGAAAGGAGCGGTAGCACTTGAAAAGTTGAATTATCAATTTCGCAATGATAGCTGCTCGAAGAAGACAAACGCAGCTCGTCCCTTACAATGCATCAGTTCAACGGGTTTCAAGAATAGTTTCGCCGTTGTTTCCGCCCAGGCTTTGAAGTGGCTGAAAATGTTGGTAGATTTTATCAACAGGTACACAGATTGTTGCAAGGAAAAAGGATTTTGTTGTCAACAGTAGTGTGGGTCTTCGAGCCTACGAAAATCTGGCACTAGCATGCTTATTCACGGGTGAGCATGTGCCCAACCAATGTAGGAGCTCCTCCAGTAAGTGTCTGTTCAAATTTTTGGAAATGTTGAGAATTATCACCGTGAATCCGTTAACAAGGACTCGATCATTTCACTTTCTTACGTCGAGCTGAAGATGATGAGGTTACCTATTCATTCCGTTTATACCGCACCGCAGGAGAACTTCAATCCGAGGAATCAATTCCTATTCTTATTAGTTCAGGCTCGAGCGTCACAGTTTCAGATAAATAGCTCAATTGAGCCTCAAGAACAACGACTTGCAAACTCGAGAAAAATACTTTTGTTACTGGAGCATTCAAGTCATTCAGAATCATTGTGAGTGTAGACAAGAACAGCGCACTCTCGATACAGATCAACTTTCAGGGAACAGACTTAAAAGCATCAGGCGGTCCCCTACAACAAATAAGTGGTTGGAGCAATCAATCCATGATCATCACCTGAAGAGCTCATTCTACCTCAAAGTAGTTGTTCAAAGTAAGATTAGCATGTGTTCGAACTAAAATTGTTCGAACACGTGCTAATCTTACTTTATTAAGCGTTTTATGAGGCCTTTGACTCTACAGCACCCCATCAAAAGTCCGTTAGAATTCAATAATGATTCTGTCTATTAGGAGATAATTCCCGCATGAACTGCTTACTGCAAAAAAGCTGCACCTGGTGTTACAAGATAGTAGTAATGAAACATGTATAATGGACTGTTGAAGCCCAGTTTCCACATGTGCCATGCCCACCGTTAGTCCACAATAGTCTAGCATCTTGAATCTTTTCGATGAACTTCAAAAAAAGCAACCAAATAAGTGATAGTGACAATTGGATTTTACTTCATCAAGGACTCTTTATTCAAAAAAAAAAAAAACGGTAGCCAGAAGCCAAATCCATCCGAGTTTTTGAGTTATTGTAAAGCGGAAATAGATGAAATTCCAAAAGAAAAACTCATAGCTTTGACTTTAGCATCAACTGGAAAAAACCATTCTTTTGATCGATCTTTTTTTGAAATTTTTAAGAAAATTTCACGTAACAACTGAGATCCGTCTGAGACGGGAATCTGATTTTTCCTATCACACAAAATGAACTTCTCAAGAAAAATAGTCGGTGGCTTTCTATGCTTCAACAGCAAGAAGTATTATGGCGTTACCACATATATATGTTGAATAAAACATCAGAAAAGACTATTCAAAAATGGAAATGTAAATCAACAAGAAGAAATGCAAATAGTAAAATGAATAAGTTGACAGTTCAGGCAGTTGACGTTATAATTATAATATTTTTCGCTTTCTAATAAACTAAAGTATGATTGAAATACCGCTCACCTCAGAAGCATCATACCAGACATTAACATATTCATGGGCTAGAGCATCATCAACAGATATTCTTTTCTCAGGGTCTATTACTAACATACGTGCAAGGAGGTCACGAGCTTTCGCTGCTAAAAACATAAAATGCGCCCGATTACATATTCAATAGTAAGACGTCATAGATAATCAAGTTAATGTTGACGCACCTGTTAGACGTGCATTGTCAGCACCAGGAGGGAACATATTGTCAGCAAATAGCGTTTCAAAAGGGACTGGTTGATACCTGAAAAACCAGATGGTGTAATAACCAACTGAAAAAAACAAGGTGAATCAATCCATCCGTTTACAGTAACTGACTAACTTTGGCCTGTTTTCAACATAATTCCGCACAGTTGTCTGTAACCGGCTGAGAAATTGCGAATCTGGAGTGCCCAGCAACTCAATGATCCGTGTCCACTGATCAATGTGATCAGCTCCAGGAAATAATACTCGCCCTCGAATCAGCTCGCCAAAAATGCAACCGACGGACCACACGTCAACTAGAATTGAAAGAAAATGTAAAAAACACAATACAAAAAAATCACTCTAGTATTTTCGAAAGCATTCAAAAAAAGTATCAGCTCAATTCAATCAGCACCAATTTTTGTTTAATGCGATTCTGGTATGAACTAAATGTTTTTTACTCATACAAATGCTGGCCCACTTTAGAAGTTAGGCTCCTCTTTGGGAAGCAAAATGTAAGAGGTCGCCATAGTTCCACCCTGGTGGTTCACCAAGTAGTTGACCATTTTTTTCTGATGAGGGCGGAGAGAGTGTAGTGGCAGATGACGCACTAACTCACACGCACGGCGATGGGTTGGAAACCCGTATCGGGATCCGCCCAGGCCAATCGAGCCTTCCATCTCTAGGGTCGGATTTGTATCAGACTCGTCTGGGAGGATAAAAGCACTGACTTGTACATCGGCTGGTCATCGCAAGTAATTGCATAGACCACATACGCATTCAATACGCCACTAAGATTCTGAAGTCGAGTGCGTGGGCGCATACTCGGACTGGATTGATTGACGTCCCAAGGCTTTATCCTTATATATTTATTTTTATTCGATGAGGGGAAAGCAATTGGAACACTTTCGACTCGATGTTTCGATAATTGACAAGCAGTGGCAGAAAAGTCATTAGGAGGCGAGGGCGAGGGAGGTTTCTGCAGTGTAAGGGATAAGAGCGCAGTTCCCGGTTAGCACGAGTAGAAGTGCGGGTTCGAGTTCCGTCCAAGGCCAAAATTTTGCCTATAACTCGCCAACCATGTGAAAGCAATTAAGTTGCATTCAAAACTGATTTGACAATTCATTGCGGCTACTCTCGCATAGTGTAAATGTTATATACCTTGCTGCAATTTGAAAATAAAGCAATTAAAAACTTCACCTGGGTCAAATGAATACTAGAAAAAAATAAAATTGCGTTTGCTAACCATTTTCTCCATATCCCATCCCAAGAATAACTTCGGGCGCACGGTAGTATCTAGTGACTACATAGGGAGTCATCATGAATGCTTCAACGGCTGTTCGTGCCAGTCCGAAATCCAGAATCTTCAGCGTGCAATCGCTTTTAACCACAATATTGGACGGTTTCAAATCCTGAACGCTATTATAAGTAGCGCAGAGAACGTTTTATAATCACAAAGCTCAAGTTGACAATTCCTAAACTCAGACGAAACTGAAACGTTGAAACGAAAAGCAGGGCATTTCACGCAAAAATTTCATTTGTCGTCCCAGGAACATGCAAAATCTATATCGTATCTGTCAAAACTGACGTAGACTGTCTTCATATAAAAAACCTGGGCGAATATCGAACAAGAAAAANAAAAACCAACCCTATGAATAATCCCTGCACTGTGTAAATGTTTGATTCCACATAACATTTGATATAGAAGGTAAGATAATCTTTCATGATCTAAATCCATTTGAATGACCTGAAAAGAATTCTTCTTAGTGCATGACTGCCGGTCCTCAAAGTGGCACAGTAACCTAGCCCAGTACATCTTGAATAGGGAAAAGGTTATCGAGGGCGATACAGCTGCCTTACTTCAACCTAAAAAAACGGATCAATCCCATTTATACCAAAATAACTGCCTATTAGCCCCCAAAGGGACAAAAACACACGTGTGAGGAAGGTTATCCGAGGAACCCAAGTTGATTATTTAAGTTCCATGTAATGTTAGAATTCCCATGGACTTTGAAGAAAAAAAAAGTATAACGCATTGGTGGGCCTAACATGTACATTGTGTCGAATATTAAAAACATTGACACAACAAAAATTCCAACTCTTTAACCCCCTAAAGCAACAATCGAGGCTGTTAGATTGCAATTGCGACTTTTATGCACGACGGAGTTTACCTGACAAAGATTTGCATCCATAAGTTCCATAACGATGTAGAGATCGTTGAATTCGTTCACCTCTCTTTGGGGAGAAAACGCGTTCAATAACCCGATTATCTGAATGAAGCATACGATAACGGAATGATCTCTGGCCAGAACATATTTATAAGGGAAAACTCACGTTTTTATGATTGACTAGATTCATAAGTATAAATTCTCTGTATGCCCGTTTGGCATGTGTAACATTTTGAAAGGGTCTGGACAGTTTCTTGATGGCAACCGGCTTGTTTGTTACCGTATCCGTCGCAGCACTAAACGGAATACGCATATATTATGCATATAAGCACGTAAACGACCAGGAATAGTACAGCCTTACTCTCATTCTCATAACGCGTTCACTTCAACATTCCTTTCAGTTTAACTCACAATTTCATTTCTAGGGAATATTTCAGTTTTTGTTTATTTCAACAGTTCAAATGCCAACAAGCTTTTTTTGCATTAGCAGAGTACAAACCCTTAGAAAAAATCATGAAGGCTGGAATCAACGTTAAAGATTCATGAACCATTCTTTGAATTTTTTTTTTGTTTTAGCAAAAATGCCTGTAATATTCAATCAGAATATTTATAAAAGGTCTAAGGTAAGCGAAAAAATAAGCGCACGAACCAAACAATGCCTTGCGCTCCTGAACCAATCAATCGAAGGTTTTCATATCTCTTCAAGATCACCATCTGCGTCTCACCAATCGGGACAGCATAATAATTGTCCGGAACAGAAGTGGATGCCATTGGAAATGTGCCGCAACTGCAAGCATAACATTAGCGACGGAACAGAATTCAGGAAACTTTCTAATTTGGTTTAACAATTTGAGCAACTCAGTAACTAATTATTTTTTTTTATTTTCGGCCCACAAAGCAACGTAGGTACTCAAATAAAGGCCGGATTGGAAGCAGTTCAAACAAGTCATGGAGTATTGGAAGAAAATGTCTCCGATATAAATAAAAATTATGACCAGCAGAGTAGGTTGGGGGGCGCGTGATTCACGCGCCAATATAATGAGGTCATCGCGCACGCAGCATCGTTTCATTACCTTCCTGTTGAGATGGACCGAATAAATTTGCAGTAGTTCACGGCTTCACCATGAATAGAGCAAATCTCTTTACTACAGCAAAAAAAGCCCCATCGAGACTGAGAATTCACCTCATAGGTCAACAATTTACTAGTCAAACGTTCAAAATAAGAATAACTTTAATTTTTTCGATTGTAGTAAACGTAATCTATCTGTAAACGTGCATAGTTGGTCATTTCTTTACTTATTCTACTTATAAGTTCTTATAACTTCTGTTATGATGGTAGGAATGATGTTTTAGCGTTATTTGTCCGATGACCTCATTATATTGGCGCGTGAATCGCACCACATCCCAGAGTAGGTTTTAGCAAGGCAGAACAATGTTGCGACATTGAAGACCAATTATAAGAATCTGTGCGTATGTGGCAGTCGCAGCCAGGGGCCGTGGCACTTATTCCCGACGGTATTGAATGCTTGAAATATAACTGTATGGTGCAGCATCAATTCGTTCTGAAAATCATAAAAAATAGAAACCAACTAAATTATACCACCTTTCTTGAATCAATCCAAGCATTCCTCCACTTCAATAAACAACTGAAGAAAAAAATTTTGAATACCACACTTGAACAGGTCAATTACTTGCAACCATCTCTGAACGCGGAAGCAATGCACAGCATTATGCGGCTATTGTTAGACCCAATGCCTTTAATTATGGTTGTAATGCAGAGCGTGCAGTAATTTCAAAAGTTCATAACTGGAATTCACATTTATAAGACATTATTTATTTTGCCTGAATTCTGCAAGCTTAAACATAATTCTACGAACTTTGCATGTGTCCGAATGTCTGTAAGTAAGCAGGCAAACGGGTATAAACTGCCTGTCATTCACAAGAAATACCAATAAGTAAAGTGTAGCAAACTTAAGTCAGAGGACCATTAAAACGTCACAAGAGGTGACAAGGCTAGAGACTGCTCTGAGCTTAGAAACCTAAACACTCGTTCTCTGTGCGATAAGCTATAAAGATGAAATAATCAAGAACAGGAGTTAAGAAACCAGAGTAATTCGCGCCGAATCGACTCCTGCCTAACACTAAATAATTTGGCTACACCGCTACAGCTTTCGTAAAAGCTTCAGAGTAGCAAGAAGACGAATTATTTAGTGGCTGTTGGTAGACTGGCAACACTTGCACCCCGTTCTCACGCTTTTTCTAAATTTGGAACTAAGGCCTTGAAATCAGGTAGCTGTCAGTAGGAAACGCTGAGCGATGTGACAACCAGTTCCCGCACGGAAAATAAATGAATCGATCGGTTCGAAACAGCCAAATATCAATTTAGGAAAGGTGTCAGTTCTCATATATCAACAGAAAATGTTCGATCAAATCTTTGCTAAGAGTAAGAGGTAGAAAAAAGGACTTCCTTTCACACACCAACCCGAGAAGCACCCATTTTATGATGTTTGACTTGAGTGAGCAGTGATCTGGTATGGTCACTAAGCCATATGTGTGGTAAAAGGTTGTCTGACTGTATCCCACCTCTGTATATTTGTAAATTTGTAGCCGAAAATGGACCCGATGCAGTTCCAACGGATAACGGATAGTTTTGCGATTATCACAAAAATTACAAATCATGTAGCTCATTATTTGCATAGCTTGCACATACCGATGGAAAAAATGAAATGGACAGCAATTAGTGCAACAATGCTTTTGCTGTGCAAGTGCAGTGCAAGTTTTTTCATGAGGACATTTGAATCTTTATGAGTATTTTGAAGAGTAGCATGCTCTGAATGGATTCTAATACATTTTTCCAAAAAAAGGAATCAGAAAACAGGGAACACGAAGTTTTCAGTTGAAAACAAGCAGAATTTTTTTGAAAAAATCGAGCATTTGAACTTTAAAATTTTCGTGTTCTGCATATATAGTTAAAGACTGCCGTGTATTCATTTGAAGAAACTCAGCATCAGTCACAAAGAATGGCGCAAGAAACTCACTTCCTCTGCACCGGGCTGAATGCACTGTGGCAGCTATCGAGCGAGAGCTCGTCTTCACGAGCTCCTGAAGTCGTGGCCAGCCACTGTAACGTAACTAATTGGTTATATGAAAAAGAAATTGTAATTTCAATGTGAAATCGTTGGTGATTCCCAACCAGGAGCTAAGATAGCAAAACTTAGAAACGCATGAGTCCCACATTATCACTTTATAGCTTTGTTCAAAAGCGGAGAGTCCGAGAGTCGCACGATTTTGTAAACAGCTACCAGACTAGACGCTTAATTACATATTAGTCCCAACATTCCCTCTTTTACTCATATCCAATACTTCTGAAAGTATCAAAGCCCACAGACTATTATTGCATTAGATTGTACCCACAAACATTGAAAAGCAAAAGGCCACAGCAACGAAACTTTCATAATCCTCTCTCTTATTTTCAAACACATAGAACCTCTCTAACATTTTGGCCGTCGGGAAAAAAAACTCTCAAGAATCAAAGAAAACCCGTAGAGGATTAAGAGATTTAAAGCAGTTTTACGGGAAGATGTCCTAAATAAAGATTTAAAAAGAGAAATTATGCTGCTGTTAGCCACGCAGGTATCGGGTTTAAAAGAACTACAAATCAACGTTAAATCTGAACGATAACAAGGTAAAGGTAAATTCGCCGAAGATAAATATAAGTTAGAGGGAAATAGTCGAAATCCAGATTACCAATGAGCATTATCAAACCATGTCTGACACAAGACTGTTCAGAGAGCATAACAAACCGCTCTAGGGGACAAACAACTATTCTGAGTCATCTAATATACCCAGTCATACTCATCGAAGAAACATCAATATGGGGGAATCGCCTAAGATAGGGCGTGGGCGTGTAAAAGTGCGGTAAAAGCGACAAATACGTGAGTAAGCCGAACCTTTGGATTTTTGGACTGAGTCACCACACTAGCAAACGCAAATACGACTTCGTTAAGCAAAACAAAGCATTTGGACGTAACCGAGACACCAGCTACTACGCCCAAAATGATATTTCAATGTTTGTAAACATCAATAGCTCGAAGAAAAAGCTGGTCTGCAAACAGCCAACATCGATTTCCTGGGAATTCCCCGACCGCGTCGCCGCCCGCGCCGCCAGCGAAGTCGACCGTTCTTGGCGCTCCATTGATAAGGCGAGCGCCGTTGCTACGACTTGGCCGGCGATTCTGACCCATGATTGGAGCAAGCCAACTTCCTCCGCCAATTCCCGAGTGGGAGCTGAATTATCGCCGAAAGGAGGGAGAGGAAAGTCTCCTTCCCCATTTCCACCATATTTTGCTTTGTGTTTGATACGCAGAAGAGGGATTCACTCAACCAAAGAGGACGCTGCAGGGATTGAGTGGAAAACAACGGACGATAGCATCGACACTAATTGGGCTAACTAAATCAATCTGGCCTAAGAAGAAATTACGCCTACCAGGGTACCAACAAAAAGATTGTCGCAGAAGGAATCCTCCTATTTTTTGAGGACCACGTCCTAAAAATGGGGCTGTACTGAGCATTCAGAATTCGATAGGTAGAAATAGGTCTTTCACAGAGACTTTACTACGAAAAGAAGAGGGTGACTTTCACTGATAGGTGACTGTTATGATATCCACTTTAGGCTTTTTTTTGGTATTAGAGGTACGCGATCTTTTTTCCACTGTGAAAAATGTGGGTGTACATTTATATGTGTAATACAGTGCACGGAAATCGTACCCCTTCAAAGGCACAGTTTACATTAAAAGTGGCATCTGTGGTTCTCCGTAGGGTGAACCTGTAGCCACCAAGCACGTGGGAGACCCTCGAGTTGAAGACGATCCATACAGGTCGCTGAAAGGGGTCCAAAACCGACTTGGCCGACGAACACACCCAAAAGTGGCCGTGTTATGACGGCCGACAACACATTCAGAATGAAAAGTTAGAACACCGACGAATTGTAAGCTTTAGCGGGAGACACTCAGACGGTTACGGACACAAAATCTCATATAGCCTCCACCAAAAAGCGCCAAGACCGCGAATAAGACCAGCGACCTAGCCACTCAGTCCAAGCGCCATATAGCCCAAATCTATTTTTTTACCAACCAAAGCTGTAAGCGTCCTAGAAGCTGTAGTGTGATATGAGATAGGAAGTTGTAGAGAGATAGAATAATCACCCACTAAGACTCAGGATGGTCTTCCCGCAAGGAGTCAGACCACCGCCTTCCGCTCACTCATCCCGCAGACATGTCTACTTTAGTTGATGGATAACTGCGTCCAGACTTTTCTTCCTTTTAGTTCCTCCAGAACAACCACAGATTTACTTAAAAGGATGGTGATCTCACAAATGCTCAGCCACAGACGGAACTCGATCTCGCCTGAGACTAAACTTTTCGGTTAATAATAACAGTGCTAATTGACCGACTCATCACGCTGCACATGTGAGTGCTGATAAGTCATGGCTAAAAAGTCATCGAGAAGGAGAGTGCGGAAGGCATTGGGAGGGATAAAGGGCTTGATGTCAGGAGGGCAAATGTACAGGTCCGGGTCCCGTCCAAGGCTGCAGCTCTTCCCAGATATCGTCATTCCTGTGAGACTTTCGGGCAACAAAACCACAGAAACGCCTCTCGCTCCTCGAGTCCAGGTCAAGCAGCCAAAACTGGTTTGAAGAAGCAAAGCTCAGAAACCTCTTTTTTGGTCTTTCCTTCTGCCGCTGATTCTTTGGTGGACTTCTCCTCACTGCT